TCTCTACTAAAAATACAAAAATTAGCCAGGTGTGGTGGTGTATGCCTTTAATCCCAGCTACTGGGGGTGCTGAGGCAGAAGAATCACTTGAACTGGGGAGGTAGAGGTTGCAGTGAGCCGAGATCACACCATTGCACTCCAGCCTGGGGAGCAGAGTGAGACTCCATCTCAAAAAAAAAAAAAAAAAGCCCCAGCAAAGTGTTCTTGTGAAGCTGAAGGGAGTACCATAAAGTGCAAAAACCACATTCAGCATTGATGTTATTCAGTGCACATAATAGTGTTAATTATTAAAATCCTGCAATAATTCAGAGTAGATTTGTACATAGTTGCTGTTCCATGCTCCCTGAATACATTCACCAACCCCTTTTCAGCTGCCTTGGCTTTCTCTGCTCCCTTCCTTTCTGTACTATTTGCTAAATATTTTAAATATTACCCTGGCTAGTCACTTTTTTCAATAAGCATGGGAGCTAATGAGATTAAGGTTGATGGCAGAAGGCCTCCTTGATCTGGGAAAAGGGAGTTGCAGAGGTATGGTTACAACACACACACACACACACACACACACACACACACACACACACACACTCTCTCTCTCTCTCTCTCTCTATATATATATATCCCCCTACATGCAGGAAGCACTTCACCTCTACAGTAGTGGTAAAGGAGAGAATTTGATATGTAAAGTCTGTAAGGCTAATCTGGCCCATTCTATCTTTGCCTTCAAAGAAAACTCTTACAAACAGTTGATCCAGAAAATACAACTAATTCAAAAATAATAAAATATAAAAAGAAAAAATAGAATTTATACAAAGATACTATAAGAATAAAGAAGAAAATGAGCATTACAATATGCCAATAGATTAAAAAAATATATACCAGAAGAGGGACACCACGGAGTAGTTGAAAAGCATTATCAATTATAAGGATGAAAATAATAAAATCAATGAGTTAATAAATTCCATGGTGGAAAGCTACAAAGAAGAAATGAAACACACACACACACACACACACACACAAAATTAAATGGAAATTAGAGAAAGAGTGAAAAATGAGAAAGCATGATAAAGATTGAATATAGATGCAAAGAAATCCAACATATGTGTAATTAATTGGAGTCTCCACAGGAAAAAAATAATGGGAAAATATGAATATATAGATAATTCTAATATATCTTTAAAAAGAGCTAACAAAATCCACATATTGAAGTGTCACCATGTTTGACAGAAAAAAAATTGATCCAGAAGTGTTGACACTGAGATATATTCTAGTAACTTTTAATTTTAGATATAAAAAAATACATTTTAGTCAGTCTAGATGCTCACTTAATTTGTGTGTGTGTGTGTGTGTGTGTGTGTGTGCATGCGCATGCATGGTGGTAGAGAATGGAGACTATTCCGAGTTTTAATTCCACTGTGGCAATGTAAGTTTCCTGTACCTCATCCCTATAGTTCATAGCAAGGACAAACTTTGAAAAAATACAAAAATAATCATAACAAATAAACAAAAACCCCAAGTGACCTAAAGTTTCTAAAAAGTAAAGAAAAGTAGGCAATTTGTAGAGGTGAGTTAAAGCCTGAAAAAGCAACTGGAATAAGGAGGTGATTTCTTTTCTTTCTTCCTTTGTATGGTTTTGCCCCAGGTTCAGCCTCACTCACCAGGTGTGCTGCATGGGCAGCTAAAATTTCAGAATAAATGCTGACATTTTTCTGACCTAAGCGATAAGTCTCGAATAGGGGATTTTGTCCCACGGGAAACATTTAGCAATGTCTGAAGACATTTTTGGTGTAACTGGAGGTAAGAGTTTGAGATGCTACATATTTTTACAATACACAGGACAGCACCTTACAACAAAGAATTATTTGGCCCTAAAAGTCAATAGTGCCAAAGCAGAAAAACCTTAAAGCAGAGTTACTGCAGGAAAAAGCCTGGGCAGGTAAGAGAGTCAGGGGAAAGTCCCAGAAGAGACACAGTCAAAGAAGAGGATCCCTTAGTTCAGTGTAAAAACTCATTCGGAAAAGTGCACCTTTTTTTCTTTTTCTTTTTTCTTTTTTTTCCCGAGATGCAACCTTGCCACGTTTTTCTGGCTGGTTTCCGTTTCCTGGGCTGAAATGATTCTCCTACCTTAGACTTTTGAGGAGCAAGGACTACAGGCGCACACTATCACAACTGGCTAGAAAAGTGCACACGTCTTAAATTTATAATGTATCAGTTATTGTGAAATGATAATGCCCAGATAACACAACAAGGGCAAGAAATAGGATATTACTCGAGTTCTAGAAGCCTCCTATATAGAAGAAATAATGGTTAAGAAACCTGTTTTTCTTATAGACAAATCTGCTTCAACAATTATCAATTTAAGTCCAATCTTGTTTTATGTGTTCCCTTACCCATTTTTTCTCCCCCTATATCATTTTGAAGCAAAATCAAGAGATCTTAGATCTTATATCTACTTTCACATATATTAGTATGTGTATCTGAAAGAAAGGAACTCATTTAAAAAAAAACTACAGTCACATTATAAACACCAAAACACCAACTGTAAGTCCTGAATATCATAAAAGCTTCAAATCTCACATAGATGTCACTTAATGCTTGGTGTTTTGTTTGGATCAGATGCAAGTAAAGTCTGATTGGTTGATTTGCCTTGAAGTAATTTTTAGTTTGTTTCTCCTCCATTTCTTTTTTTTTTTCTCCCCAGGGTTTACCAGTCTGCAGTTTACTGATTATATTCTTCTTGTGTTATTTCATGTGTCCCTATATCCTCTGTATTTTCTATAAATTGCCCTTTAGATTTAGAAGCTTGATTAGATTGAGATTCAATTTATTAAATTATTTTGAGGGACAAGACCTGACAGAGGTGCCTATTATCTCCTTTCACTCCATTAATTCATTAGAGGTTGCAAAATAGTGATTTTTTTTTCGAATACGATTATTTTTATTTGCTGGACTATCTATATTTAAAGTTTGCTTTTTTTCATCATTCTTTGCCTGATGTTTGTGCCTTTAAAAATGCTTTTTTTATATACTTTTGTCCAGGTTTTAGGGTTGTTTTAGGATGGGCGGCTAAATCATGCCATCTTGGAGACAATCTGAAGTTTCTTTGTTATCTATTAATAGAGCTTCACAATTTTTTACAGGTCTTGCATATATTTTGTAAAATTTATTCCTAGAGATAAATTGATTTATATAAAAATCTAGAAACTCTTGTACTAGATATTCAATTATACATTCATCCAGCAACATTAATTGTATTTAACTACCTGCAAGTCTTATTTTAGACAGTCTCCTGAATGAAGTAAGTCAGAAATTGTCTCTGCCCTCAATGAGCTAATGGAAAACAACAAACTAATGGAAAACATGTTGTTTTTCGTTAGCTGTTTGCATTAGTCAGGGTTCTCTTAGAGGGATAGAACTAATAGGATACACACACACACACACATATATATATAGGAGTTTATTAAATATATATATTTATATACTATATATATATAGTAGTTTATTGAGTATTAACTTACACGATCACAGGGTTCCACTATAGGCTGCCTGCAAGGTGAGAGGCAAAGAGAGCCAGTCTGAGTCCCAAAACCGAAGAACTTGGAGTCTGATGTTCGAGGACAGAAGGCATCCAGCATGGGAGAAAGATGTAGGCTGGGAGGTTAGGCCTGTCTCTCCTTTTCATGTTTTTCTGCCTGCTTTATATTGGCTGGAAGCTGATTATATTGTCCCCACCAGATTAAGGGTGGATCTGCCTTCCCCAGCTCACTGACTCAAATGTTCATCTCTTTTGGCAACACCCTCACAGACACACCCAGGATTAACACTTCGTATCCCTCAATCAAATCAAGTTGACAATCAGTGTTAACCACCACACTGTATATATTCCATTAGCTATAATATACATGTATTATGATCTGTGTGTGTATACATGTGTGTGTGTGTATATATATATATATATATATATATATATATATATAGAGAGAGAGAGAGAGAGAGAGAGAGAGAGAGAGCATTCCTAATCCAGAAATGCAAATTTTAAAATGCTCCAAAATATAAAACTTTTTGAGAGACACGATGATGCTGCAAGTGGAAAATTCCACACCTGACCTTATGGGATGGGTTGTTGTCAAAATGAAGGCACATAATGCACAGTATATTCAGTGCCTCCAAGGGAAAAATTACCCCCCCAACCCCCTTCAGTTTTGATACATCTTTTCCTTGTATAGCCAGATTCCCCTTTGCAAGTATGTCAACAAAGAGTAAAAAAAAAAAAAGGTACATGCGGAGGCTGGATGTGCCCATGGCGGGTTACTACGATGTGCCACATGGAGCCAAGCCCTATGTACATGATTCACTGTGGGTTTTTTGCTTATTCTCTGTTCTGGGTGTAAAGATACTGTTGAAAATGTCAAACAGACCTGCAGCTATTACTATGGTAAAAAAGAGGCTAAAAAAAGAGGAAGAATTTATATTTATTTATATCACAGAAAGTCAAGTTGTTCTAGAAATTGGACAGTGGTATAAGTGTGAAACATCATACAAAGAGGATAGTATTAGAATTATTACCATATATGGCCTGAAGAAAAAAAGTATACATTGTTGAAACTCTATGCTGAAAATGATGGACAAAGTTAATGAAAAATGGAAACACTGCATAAAGCTAGAAATGAAGATCTCGGTCTTTTATTGGAAGAGAGAATCCATCAGTATCGCAGTGAACACATACCACTTAATGTTATGCTAATCATGGAACAAGCAAAGATCTGTCCTGATGAACTTAAAATTGAAAGGAACTATAAATATTTAATAGAGTGGTTGCAGAAATTTCAGAAAAGATGTGCCATTAAATTTTTCAAGATTTCTGGTTATAAAACATCTGTTGATCATGAAGTAGTGGAGAAATTCACTGACGAGTTTGCAAAGGTCATTGCTGATGAAAATCTGATGCCATACCAACTCTATAATGCTGACAAAACAAAACTGTTTTGACATTATTGTTCCAGAAAGATATTGACTGCAACTGATAAGACAGCCCCTATAGGAATTAAGGATGTCGAGGACAGAATAACTGTGTGGAGATGTGCTAATGTGGCAGGCATGTGTAAGTATAAACTTTTTATGATAGACAAAAATTGGGACCCTTGCTGTTTTCAAGAAGCAAATTTCAGACTAGTTCACTATTATGGTACCAGAAAGGCATAAATCACCAGGGACATATTTTCCAATTGGTTTAACCAACATTTTGTACCAGTGACTCATGCTTAATGCAGGGAAGCTGGACTATATGACAACTGCAAGATTTTATTAGTCCTTGACAACAGTTCTGTTCATTCTGTAGCTGAAGTTTTCATGAAAAATGTTTATGCCATGCACTTTTTCCCATTTGGACTTCATTAATTCAAACATAGAACAAGGGTATGTTTGATAAACTTAGATAAATAAAGGGCAGATATTAAAAAATAACAACACTTTTTTGAACAGTCTGTTAGGAGCATGAACAGAGGCATGGGTGTGAATGTTTTCAAAAGGAGTTTAGTCTGAAAGATGCTATTGCCAGTACTTGGAACACATGAATAAAGACACAGTTGTGCATGCCTTGCACAACCTCTGGCCTGTGACAATATTCAGAGATGGATGATGAACAAGGTGGTGGTTTTCAGGGATTCCATATGTCAAGTGAGAAAAAAAAATGATGTCTGACCTTCATAACCTTTCTGTAAGATGGAAGAAGTATATATTAAATATGTTTTTAATATTGATAATGAGTCTCCAAGTTTTCATTTACTGACTGACAGTGAAGGAGGATAAATGATTCTGAATAAAGGGGATCATGATAATAGTGAAGATGAAGATGATGTTAACACTGCAGAAAAAGTGTCTATAGATGACATAGTGAAAATGTGTGCTTGACTTTTTGAAGGACTGGAGCAGCATATATGATATGGGTTGGCTGTGTCCCCACCCAAATCTTACCTTGAATTGTAATAATCCCCAGGTGTCAAAGGTGGGGCCAGGTAAGGATAATTGAATCATGGGGCAGTTTTCTCCATACTATTCTTGTGGTAGTAAGTCTCATGAGATCTGATGGTTTTATAAGTGAGAGTTCCCCTCCACAAGCTCTCTTGCTTGCCACCATGTTAAGCTGTGACTTTGCTCCTCATTTGCCTTCCACTATCATTGTGAGGCCTCCTCAGCCACATGGAATTATGAGTTCATTAAACCTTTTTCCTTATAAATTACCCAGCCTCTAGTATGTCTTTATTAGCAGCATGAGAATAGACTAATACAATATATTATAACATAACAAGAAATCATGTCAATTTATAAAATCAAAGAGACACTTCTAAGATAAAGACCATTGCTAATGAGGCAGATGACTGTGGGAAGCATTTTAAAAAGCCATCCAGCCAAATGCCTCCTCATTCCTACAGGACCTCTTGGCACTTCTCCGTCCCTCAGCTGTTTCTGGTGTTTATTCTTATCTAAAAAATCAAATACAATGTAAACTTTTAATCAAAACACAGTATCATACACAGAGATTGAAAGTGCTGTTGATTGTTGTTGCTGTTGTTTAAGAGCTGATACAAACAACTACAGACTGTGATGCCAGCCAACCATAGACTGTCCACATGTGCGGCTGAGGTGGTGACACCTATGGTTTCTGATGGCTCAATGTATACAAATTCTGTTTCATGCACAAAATTATTTAAAACATATAAAAATACATTAGGCTATGTATATAAGGTGTATATAAAACATAAATGTATGTCATATTTAGGCTTAGGTATGTAAATGCAATTATTCCAAAATCCAAAAAAAGAAAAAAAAAGAAATCTGAAACACTTCTGGTTTCAAGCATTTTGGATAAGGCGTACTCCACCTGTAATGGTCAAAGACAAGGTGGTTCAAATGAACATTTTGATAATTCTCTTGAAAAATCATCAGGAAGAGTTTGGAGGACATACCGTTTGAGCTAGTATCTGCAATCTGGAGATATTTTTAGCATAAAATGATGGACAATAGATAAAATCCAGGAAAAGAGAACAGAATCAAAGCTGTGAAAAATGTGAAGTTATTAAAAGATGTATTAAGTTTTCAAACGTGGCTAGCATTTTGGGTTATTAATGGGAAAAGCTTGGAAAGTAATATAGGAAAGGTAGTTCAGTAGCAAGTTCCAAAGAATCCTGGATGTAAAACTAATTGCTTTGGCCTTCATTCTGTGGCGAATAGAAAAAATCTGAATAAGATGATAACAACTTAGATGCAGTGATGTTTAATATTGAGTGTCAACTTAACTGGATTGAAGGATGCAAAGTATTGTTCCTGGGTGTGTCTGTGAAGGTGTTGCCAAAGGAGATTAACACTTGAGTCAGTGGACCGGGAGAGGCAAACCCATCCTCAGTCTGGGTAGGCCCCATCTAATCAACTGCTAGTGTGGCTAAAATAAAGCAGGCAGAAGAAAGTGGAAAGAGATTTGATTTGCTGAGTCTTCTAGCCTTCATCTTTCTCTTGTGCTGGATGCTTCTTCCCTCAAACATCAAACTCCAAGTTCTTCAGCTTTTAGACTCTTGGACTTACACCAGTGGTTTGCCTGGGGCTCTCAGGCCTTCGGCCACAAATTGAAGGTTGCACCATCGGCTTCCCTACTTGGAGGTTTTGGGACTTGCAGTGGCTTCCTTGCTCCTCAGCTTGCAGATGGCCTATTGTGGGACTTCACCTTTTGGTCATGTGAGTCAATTCTCCTAACAAACTCCCCTTTATATACATATATATCCTACTAAGTTCTGTCCATTTAGAGAACCCTAACTAATACAGATGCATTTCAGATAGAATAGACTGGCTGCTTCATGTGAAACAAAAATTCAGTCTGTTGTGATTGAAGAGAACAGAGAAGGTATGAACAGTCTACGAAGACTTCACTGGAACTCCCTCAAACACGTAACAACTAAGGCAAACTTAATCAAATGGATTCTAGGGTGGACTTGGATATGTACTGTTTAAATGAACAATAATTATTGATACTGGAATAAAAACTACCCAAATTCCAGCCAGGTGTGGTGGCTCACACCTGTAATCCCAGCACCTTGAGAGGTCCAGGTTGGTGGATCACTTGAGGCCAGGAGCTCGAGACCCACCTGGGCAACATGGTGAAACCCTGTCTCTACTGAAACTATAACAATTAGCTGTGCATGATGGTGTGTGCCTGTAATTCCAGCTGCTGGAGAGGCTGAGGCATGAGACTTGCTTAATCTGGGAGGCGGAGGTTGCAGTGAGCTGATTGTACCACTGCACTCCAGCCTGGATGACAGAGCAAGACTCTGTCTCAAAAACAAAAACAAAACAAAACAACAACAACAAACAAACAAAAAAAACCCTACCTAAATTCCACAATGTCAATTTCAATTTTTAAACCACATTATATTTGTTGATTTGGAGAGGGGGAGGCTGATAAAATATACCATTGAATTAACTTTATCTTTTATTCATTTCTCTACCAATGATAACCGCTTTGTGTGATTTTCCATTCTGGAAGATGATTTGTTTCACATTTTCAATGTATAGTTGATTTACTGCTGAAGACCACATCAGAAAAACAAAGTCAGTCATAAAGCAGCTTGCACTCTCTGATCATTCCTTTTAAAAATCTCATATTCAGCATCAAAACATTTATCCATTTCAGAGAAACCAAACCTTGACACCTGATTCTGCACCGTGTGATGATATTAAACATATTATATGTTAAACAACTTCAATTATTTTGCCTATTTCACAAACTTCATTTTGAATCTTATTAACATTATATCTTTGATTTTATTCAAAATAGTACTTTAAAACTTAAGGAATATGACACTCAAAATAGTACCATTCTCCATTATCTTTACTGATTACTTCTATAGCCTCCCTACCCACAGCTGCCACTTTGCCAGGGTGGCAAACACTCAGAAGGTCTTAATGGAGCCTAAAGAATAACTTGTAAGCATGTCTTTAAATTCCCTGAGGAAACTGTGACTGAAAAGGAGATTCTAATCTAAGTGTACACCACTCTTAGTTTTGAAGACTCTAAAATAATGCTCCAGTTTGAGAGCAAGCCTGAGATTTTAATTAATTTGTGATAAAATGATTCACCACATTAACAAGCTACAAGAGAAAAAAATAGTCACGTCAAAAGATGCAGAAAAAGCATTTGACAAAGTTCAACATTCATTCCTCATAAAACACTCAGAAACTTGGGATCGAAGTAAACTACTTTAACCTGATAAAGATAATTTTCAAAAAGCCTACAGCTAACACTATACTTAATGGTGAAATACTGAATCCTTTTTGCCTAAGATAAGAAACAAAAAAAAGTGTCTGTTCTTACCACTTCTATTCAACTATAGTAGAGGTTATATCTGGTATATTCAGGCAAAACAAAACAAAACAAGGCCTTCAGATTGGAGGGGCAGAAATATACCTGTCATTATTTTCAGTTGACATAATTGTCCATGCAGTAAATCTGACAGAATCTACAAAAATGCTTGTAGAACTAAGTGAGTTTATCAGGGGTACAGAATATAAGATCAATATACAGAATCAGTTGTACTTTTATATTCTAGCAATGAGCAATTAGAAAATGAAATTTTAAAATATAATTTAAAATTACAACTAAATATGAAATACTTTGGATAAATCTGACCAACGATGTCAAGGACTAGTAAGTTTCTTGAAACTACAAAATATTATTGAGAGGAAGTAAAGAAAGCTGACATAAATGAAGAGCTATTTCCTGTTGATGAGTCAGAAGATTCAGTATTGTTAAGATGGCAATTCTTCTTCATACGTATCTTTTGATTATGCACAATTTCATTCAAAAATTTAGCAGATTTCTTTTTTGTAGAAATTGACAAGCCAATTTAAAAGTTCACATGGGAATGTAAAGCAGCGTTACATTAGTTCTCTATTGCACTTTACAAATTACTACAAACACAGTTGCCTAAAACAATATGCATTTCTTAGCTCACAGTTTCGTAGGTCAGAAGTCTGGCATAGCCTGGCTAGGTTCCCTACTTAGGATGTTAAGAGGTGTTTACACAGGGTATGAAAATCAAGGTGTTACTGGTC